ATCTGGTTGGCGGCGGCGATGAGAAGATACCGCTGAGAAAGTGTTGCTAGCAGGCGTTCCTGAGATCTGGCCGGCGGGCTGGACAGGGCTGGGAAAGGAAGGTAGGGTCTGATTAGTCACTGCTCCCAGATCAGGCCCTGGCCTGGGTGACGCTGCCCCCGCACCCCAGCTCCACCCCGGGCCTCTGAACCCCGGAACGCTGCCACGTGGGAACCTCCCAAGAAAGTCGGGCAGGGGCGCGCAGCTTTCCCTCCTGAAGCCCCTAAGAGGGCCCTCCCCCAGCAGCTGGGCCCCTGAGAACCAGTTGGCCTATTTGGAGGGCCCGGGGCAGAGCGGGCAGCTCTCAGGACGAGGGTGGGATGGAGCCCCTGGTTGGGCCCTGGCACCTCCCGAAGCCTCCCTTTGGCGAGTGGGAGCGACGAAGCCGATGCCCCGCTAGGACCGGGCAGCGGTGTTGTTTCTCAGTCACCACGGCTGCCCACAGACACGGGTGGCGCTCACTGGCCACTCGCCCAGGGTTGTGCAGGAGACCGGAGCCCTCAGTGGGAGCAGGACACTGGGCAGTGGGGACAGGCTCAGGGGGCTGTGTCCCCGCCTCCACTCTGCGCCCCAGGTCAGGCCCCCAGGGCAAAGGGAAGGCTGGTGGGAAGTGAGCGAGGTCTGCTGGGTCCAGCGGGGCTTCCGGGGTTTGTCTCTGACCGGAAGCTTGGCTGGCACTGTGCCGAGGTGCGGGGCTGTGCTGCCCGCTGATCTTGAGGGGACCGGCTGTCGTGTACTGGGGTGCTGGGGTGGCAGGAGGCTGCTACTGGCCGTGGAGGGAGTTCTTGGGGGCCAGGGAGTACAGGACAGGGAGAAGCACTCCCTGGCTGTTACAGATACTCACTATGTATCCCAAACTCAAGGTCCTCCTGCCTCAGCCTCCCGAGTGCTGGGACGACACAGCCAGCACCAGAGAGGAGGTGAGTGGCGGACTGGTCCCTGCAGGTGACACTGAGACCTCCCTGAGGCCTCTTCCCGAACCAGGGTGACCCTGCAGCGCTGCTGCCCCATTTTCAGCACCTACCCTGGCCTGTGAGGCCAGGGCCAGCGCCAGCGCCAGGCGGAGCAGCCAGAGGTGGGGTGGGGCAAGTGGCAACTGGCTGCTTGGTTGCCGGGGGCCCCCTCCCTTGATTGAAAGAGTTAATATCTGACGGTTGTAAAAACACTGAGAGGGGGTGAAAAAATTAGAAGAAAAACTCACCTATAACCCCAAGTTTGTTTGTTTTTTGTACCGGGAATCAAACTCAGGACCTTGCGCTTGTGCTGATGAGCTATATCCCTGGCCTTAACCCCAAGTCTGTAGGGGGCCCACTTTTCTCTCCCGCAGCCCTCATCTGCAAGCTCAGTTGCTGTATCCTATGAAGTTCTTTTTTTTTTTTTTCTTTTTTTTTGGTCTCAACTATGGAGCCCAGGCTGACCTCGAATTCACAGTGATCCTCCTGCCTCAGCCTCCTGAGCGCTAGGCTGACAGGTGTGCGCCATCAGGCGCCGTGAAGTTTTAAGCAAGCCTCCTTCCAAACCAGCCTAGTCTGGGGGGGGACCGGGCCACTGTGTCACCCTCTTCCCAGGAGGGGGGTGAGCTGGGGTCCCGCCTCTTCACGGAGGGGTTGGTGGGCCAGGGACCAGGCTGCTGGGGACCCCTGGGAGGGCCAGCAGTGCGCGTGGCAAGGCAGAGCTGTCACTCATGCAGGTCTCCCCCTGCTGCTGTCCCTGGTTGGCTTAGGGTCTTTCCTCCCCAGGCGCTGCTCTGCGCTCACCCCGGCTGGGTCCCCTGCAGGAGGCAGCCCCTTCCCCATGGACCCTGGTGTCCCTGAGGCCAGGCCACTCAGCTGGGGCATGTCTGTCCTCCCACTCCCCAGTGTCCCAACAGGTGTTGGCTCACTGCAGACCAGAAGAGAGGGCCTGGCTCTGAAAGCTCCCTTCCCCCTCTGTCCCCAACGCCTCTGGGAGTGACCCTGCCACCCACAGGGGCCACGCCGGGACCCCAGGCTTCGCTGGCAGCCTGTGCTGGAGCCGCAGCCTGGCAGGGCCAGGCCCCCAGGGGAGCAGTGACCGCCACCCCGTCCCTGTGCCCTGTCTTGGTCTGTTGGAATCTGGGCTGGGGACTGCTGCTGTGTGGGGAGCACTGTCCCCTTACTGACCACTTGCTTAGCAGGCAGCAGTCACCACAGAGGGGCACTAGGCCCAGGGGACAGTGGCCTGGGTCCTGCCTCACGGCCGCTCCTGCCCCTGCACCAGATGTCCTGAAGCCCAGCTCTGCCTGTTTCTTCTTTCTTTTTTGCAACCAAAGCTTCCTGTGTAGCCCAGCCTGGACTTGAACTCTCCGTGATCCTCCTGCCTCTGCCTCTCCAGTGCTGGGGTAAGGGGTGTGCATCACCACAGCCGGCTGGGCTTACTTTTAAAGTCAAGGCTGCGCCCAGGAAAGGGCCAGAGCCTCACGGCCATCCCAGACTCCTTCCCGGGTGGACGAGTCTTCCCTCTTCCTGTCCTGACCCCAGGCCGCCTCCGCCCGGCCGCACAAGGCCCTGCATTCAGCGCGGCCCCGCCCATCTGTCCGGAGGCAGCAGGCAGGGCTGTGTTAGGGGTGTCGCCTCCGACGCAGTCCGGCCCTGGGCGGAGAGGGATGACAGCAACCTGGGCGCGGCCCTGCCTGGAGCGTCAGGCCTGGCACGGCTTCTCGGAGCCTCCCAGGTTCTCGGGGAGCCAGTGGAAGAGCAGAGGCGGCCACTTTCTCAGTGTGGAGGCCCGGTTTCTCCACCTAGAAATTAGAAGCAGTAAAATGCTTGCCATCCTGGCCTGGTGGCCCACACCTGTCATCCCAACGTTCTGGGAGGCTGAGGCAGGAGGATTGCAAGTTCAAGCCCAGCCTAGCCAGTTTATTATTTATTTATTTATTTGTTTATTTTTTGGCTTTTGAGGCAGGGTCTCGCTGCAGTTCAGGCTGGTCTTGAACTTGCAAGGATTCTCCTGGCTCAGCCTCCTGAGTGCTGGGATTGCAGGCATAAGTCACCACTCCCGCCTCATAGCCTAGCCGATTTAGAGACCCTGTGTCAAAATAAAAAGGGCTGGGGATATCGCTCAGCCTTGGTTCGATTGCCAGGACCCCTAAAATAAAAACAGCGGCTGCCAGTGCAATTGAGATTAATTTGATAATAACGGCAACTGTCTGTCCGCCCCCCCAACCTCTGAGCTGACCTCCGCCCTCCCTGGGCAGCTGTCCAGCTCGTGCTGGCCCCGTGCCCGGGCTGCTGGAGTGGTGAGGGGTCTGCCGGGAAGCTCCCCGCTGAGTCCTGCCTCAGCTGTGGTCCCGGGATGTAGCTTGCGCCTTGGCCCTGAGCTGCATCCCAGCCCTTTCAGGCAGTTTTTAAGTAGGCATGCGGAAGGGGCCGCCAGGCTAAAGCCAGCCCTCAGACAGTTTTTCAATTTTGAGACAGGGTCTGGCTGAGTCGCCCAGGCTGGGTTTGAATTTTTGCTCCTGCCTCAGCCTCCCAGAGTCCCTGGATTACAGATGTGCGCCCCACCCAGCTGGTGTGCCCACACCCTTTTTCTGGTACTGAGGATTGAACCCAGGGCCTTCATCCTGAGCTACAGCCCCAGCCCTTTGTTTTTGAGTCAGGGTCTTGCTCAGTCACTAAACTGCCCAAGCAGTGCTCACGGGAGTTTGCAGTCCTCCTGCCTCAGCAGCCTTGCAGAGGCCCCTAAACAGGGTCCTTAGGCTGAGGGGAGCCCCCACCCTCTGGCTTGGCTCCGCTGTGGGGCAGGGCCATTTCCGCTCGGGATGGGGCTGTGGCCAGGGCCGGAGATGGGCAGCTTGTCCCAAGCCCAGCAGACTGGGGTGCCCACGGTGGCACTGCAGGGCCAGGGTGCCCGTGCTCCCAGCGTCACCATCTCCTGTGTGCTTGGCGCCCAGTTTCCTCCAGCGTCCCTGGGGGTGCTGGCTCTTGGGACCCACCCTTGGGACGAGGGCCGGAGTTTCCTGCCTCTGCCTCCTGTCTGTGCCTGGGTTGCTCCCTCTGGTCCTTCTCCGCAGCAGCTGTGCACATCTGGTGGCTGCCTCTCTTTACCAGCCCGAAACTCTGAGTCACTGGGGTGGGAGGGGTGGCGCCGCCTCTTCCCCTCCAGGTGTGCGGGGAGGGCGGCCGTCAAGCCCGGAGAGGCAGGGCTTAGTCACCTGGGGGAGGGCGGCGTGGAGCCGGAGGCAGCCTCTGCTCCTGGGTGGGGCCTGGGGACACCAGCCCTCCCTTGGTTTTGCTGTCCCTGTTGGAGGTGCTGGGGGCCACCGCATTGTGTAGGGGGTACTGGCAGGGCACCCGTGTCTGCATGCGGAAGGGCCGTGGCCGCCATGGACGCCTGCCACCCTTGTACCCCAGCCTGGCCTCCGGGGCACCTGGAAGGGACCCCGTGCGTCGGCCGGGCGGTGCCCACAGCCAGGGCCTGACACTGTGCACCTGTGTGCCCAGCTGGGCTGCGTCCTCTGCCACCGGCTCCTCGAGGTGCCTGCCGGGGATGGCGGCGGCAGAGCCTGGTTGGCCCCCACCCACAGGGCCACCAAGGCCCAGCAGGGAGGCGCCTGGCCCAGGGGCGCGGAGCAGAGGTTGGGCCTGAGCTGGGGGCCCGCGCCAGCCTGCCCAACCTGCCGGGAAGAGAGAGGCAGGGTCCCCAGGAGCCTGGCGCCCCCGCCCGGAGAAACCAGTCCGACCGCTTCGCTGCTGCACCCGGCGGCCCAGGCTCACCTCGCCCTCCCGAGTGCCTCCTGCTGGGGCCTGGCCCTCCCAAGGGGCTGGGTCGGAGATGCCAGCCCTGGCTCGGGGCAGCCGTCCCTCGGGTCTCAGCGCTGCCCTGGGCCGCCCCATACCCAGCCCCTGGGGGCGGCGGGCAGGGCCAGGTCAGGGAGAGGGACACCCACACGCCGAGCTGGGGCCAGGCTGACTTCTGCCGCTCGTCCTGCCCCCTCCCCACAGCCGCCATGGAGGTGATGAACCTGCTGGAGCAGCCCATCAAGGTGACGGAGTGGCAGCAGACCTACACCTACGACTCGGGCATCCACTCGGGCGCCAACACTTGCGTGCCCTCCGTGAGCAGCAAGGGCGTCCTGGAGGAGGACGAGGCCTGCGGGCGCCAGTACACGCTCAAGAAGACCACCACGTACACGCAGGGCGTGCCCCAGGGCCCAGGTGGGGCCAGGCACTTCCTGGGGGCCAGGGGACCCCGGCGGGGTGGGTGGGGGTGGTGATGCACTCTTTTTTTTTGTTTGTCTTTTTGAGACAGGGTCTCCTATGCAGTTCAGGCTGCCCTTGAGCTCACTTTGTAGCCCAGGCTGGTCTTGAACTCACAACGATCCTCCTGCCTCAGCCTCCCCAGTGCTGGGATTACATGTGTGCGTCCCCCACGCCCAGCCCGGTGATGCACTCATAACCCCACTGTTGCTGGTGCAGGTGGCAGGTGACCCGCATTCTGCAAGGCCCCCACTGGGGCGCTCAGGGCTCTGCCTGGCTGTGCTTTGGGAGGTGGTGAGGGATAATGGGTCTTGCGAAGTGTTGGGGATGTCTGATGCCACCCCCACCCTGGCTGAGGGAAGAGGAACCGGCTGTCTGGAGACCCTGCGGTCCAGGGTTCTCATCTGTGAAGCGGGGACGGGGAGGGGGGGTTGCATGCTCACCGTGTTGGGTGCTTGTCAGATTTAATGAGAAAATAGGAACGCACTTAATTCGCTGGCAGGCACATAGGACTCAAAAAATTGTAGCTTTTTTTTTTTTTTTCAGTACTGGGCTTGAACCCAGAGCCTTGGCACTGAGTTCCAACCCCAGCCTTCAAAAAAATTTTATTTTGAGACAAAATTTTACAAAGTGGCTAAGTTGTCCAGGCTAGACTCAAACTTTCAGTTCTCCTGCCTCAGCCTTCCAGAGTGCTGGGAGTACAGGTGTGTGCGACCACACCTGGCTTAGCTGTTCTTTTTTTCAGCACTGGAGAAGGAACACGGTGCTTGGTGCATGGTGGGCAAGAGCTCTGCCACTGAGCTACCGCTCACCCTAGCTGTCCTTTTGCATAATCAGCATCACTGACAGTTTCATAGTGTTGGTGCCGGGGCACACGACTTTTTTTTTTTTTGAGACAGGGTCTTACTATGTATCCCATGTGTGGTCTTGAGCTCACTGTGTAGCACAGTCTGGCTTAAATCTGGGGTGATCCTCCTGCTTCAGCCTCCCAAGTGCTGGGATGACAGGTGTGCACCACCATGCCCCGCTCTAGACTTTTCTTTCGAGAGCGGGTGACAACTACAGTGTAATGTTTAGTGTAAGAACCCTACAGGACGGGGACGGGACAGGTGGGCGCCACATTCCAGGTGGGAAGTTGAGGCGATGGTGCCCCTGTGTGGCCGGGCTGTGGAGCCCTCGTGCCCTGTGCCTGGCTTTGGCCCACAGGTCGTGTCCTGCGCTAAGTCCCCCTGCTCTACCTTAGGTGACCTGGAGTACCAGATGTCCACCACGGCCAGGGCCAAGCGTGTGCGGGAGGCCATGTGTCCGGGTGTGACGGGCGAGGACAGCTCGCTGCTGCTGGCCACGCAGGTGGACAACCAGGCCACCAACCTGCAGCGCCTGGCCGAGCCGTCCCAGCTGCTGAAGTCAGCCATCGTGCACCTCATCAACTACCAGGACGACGCCGAGCTGGCCACGCGGGCGCTGCCCGAGCTCACCAAGCTGCTCAATGACGAGGACCCGGTCGGTGGGGTCCCGGGGAGGGCGGCCGGCCCCCGCACCCCCAGGCGTGGGTGGCGTTGGGCCGGGCTCCGTGTGAACTTCCCGTCCCTGCCTCGCAGGTGGTGGTGACCAAGGCAGCCATGATCGTGAACCAGCTGTCCAAGAAGGAGGCCTCGCGCCGGGCCCTGATGGGGTCCCCGCAGCTGGTGGCTGCCGTGGTGCGCACCATGCAGAACACCAGCGACCTGGACACGGCGCGCTGCACCACCAGCATCCTGCACAACCTGTCACACCACCGCGAGGGGCTGCTGAGCATCTTCAAGTCGGGCGGCATCCCCGCCCTGGTCCGCATGCTCAGGTGCTGCCCAGGGCCTCTGGGGTTTCCCGAGGGGGCACAAGTCCCGGGGGCACAGTTGGTTTTGTTCCCTCAGAGCCCCCAGGGCTTCCGTAGCAGACGCTGCAGAGACTGACTGTGTGCTCAGCACCAGGCAGGGGAGAAGCAGGAGTTGGGGTCCGCTCGGAGGGGACAGTAAGGGGTGCTCTGCAGCTCGGCTCAAGGGACCCTGAGATTGTATTTTATTTAAGTACCCAGCAGACAGGGTGTGGTGGTGCATGCTGGTAATCCTAGCACGCAGGGGGAGGCTGAGGCAGGAGGATTGCCTAGAGCAGTGGTGGCGAACCTATGGCATTTGTGCTGCACCTGGCTATTTGTTATCACTGAAAGCTGTAAAAGGTTTGCCATCACTGGTTTGAGGCCAGCTTGGACTATTTGTTGAGTTCAGGGCCAGCCTGGGCTACACAGTGAGACTCCCTTCTCAAAAAAAAACCCCAAAAAATAAAATAAAAATGGCTACAAAAGCTCAAAAAACAAAAATGGCCAATAAAAATAAATATGACCAGTGTATCACTTCAATATAAGACCTTATGCAGCCATTAAAAATATTACTACTGAAGCATTCCTAAAACTGTGCAAATGTTTATGCTATATTGTTTGTTTTGAGACAGGGTCTTGCTATATAGTTCAGGCTTCACCAGGAACTCACTACGTGGCCGAAGTTGGCCTTGAACTCATGATAGTCCTCCTGCCTCAGCCTCCTGAGTGCTAGGATGACAAGTGTGTTCCACCAGGCCCGGCTATGGTATAACGTTAAGTGAACAGTAGAATACACCCTTTATGTGTTATTCTGACTATATTAAAATGCATATAAGTCAGTGTGGAGGCTCACACCTGAATCCCAGCACTCTAGGAGGCTGAGGCAGGAGGATTGCAAGTTGGAGCCCAGCCTGGGTAATTTTGCGACTTAGGGAGAACCTGTGACGGGGAAAAAATACAACAAACAAATACACAAAACAAACTCACCCATGGTGAGAAGGTGACGCAGCGTTGGCAGTGGTTACTTTGGCTCCGCGCTGGCGGGTGAGCACAGAGGGGACGTGGCCGACAGCTTGGTGCTGTGAGTACACAGCAGACAGCAGAGCGAAGTCGTCAGTGGCTTACCGGGGTAGTTTTTCTCTTTCGAGACAGTCTTGCTCTATAGCTCAGGCTGGCCTCAAACTCTCAGGGACCCTCCTGCCTCAGCTTCCCGGGTATTGAGATGACAGGCGTGCGTCAGAGCCCTGGTCCCGTGCCCTCGGGGCCGCACTTCCACGGTCTGACTTTATTTTCCACGGTGCTGGGACAGAACCCAGGGCCTGGCCTGTGCTCGGGCTGGTGAGTTGAGCTGGCGGCGCTGGCCGGGCCCTGACGCCTGCCCCGCTGCCGCCCACAGCTCGCCCGTGGAGTCGGTGCTGTTCTACGCCATCACCACCCTGCACAACCTGCTGCTGTACCAGGAGGGCGCCAAGATGGCCGTGCGCCTGGCCGACGGGCTGCAGAAGATGGTGCCACTGCTCAACAAGAACAACCCCAAGTTCCTGGCCATCACCACCGACTGCCTGCAGCTCCTGGCCTACGGCAACCAGGAGAGCAAGGTGGGGCCGGCGCCCGGCCGCCTCCGCTGGACGCGGTGATGGGGCCGGGGCCGGGGCTTCGTGCTGAGCTGCACCCCAGCCTTTTTCATTTTTTATTTCGAGACAGAGTCTCACCGAGTGGTGAAGTTGCCTGAGCGAGGCTTGAAGTTGTGATCCTCCTGCCTCAGCCTCCCTCACCCTGTGCACCCCCCACGCCCAGCAGTTTATCCCCTTTGTCAACCAAACTGTAACGGGCGTCACCGGAGAGCTTTTCCCACACAGAAACAGTTGTCACTGGGGGCCGGAGACGTTCAGTGCCCCCAGGCCAGCGGTGGCGGGCTGATGGGCATTGTGCAGCAGCGGGCTGTTTGTTGCCTTTGAAAGCTCTAAATAAATATTTGAGCCGGGTGAGGTGGCGGATGCCTGTCACCCCAGCACTGGGGAGGCTGAGGCAGGAAGATCATGGCCAGTTCAAGGCCAGCCTGGGCTCCATAGTGAGTTCAAGGCCAGTCTGAATTACATAGCAAGAC